ATAACGCTAGGAAATTATAGGCATCGTTCATTTCATCGATTCGAATTTTCAATTTTAGGTTTTTACAGTAAAAAACTCTCAGAAAATATTACATCTAATAATTTTTGTTACAGTGTAAAGTTTTAAAAAAATGTCACACCTCAACTCAAATTCACGAAGTGAACGAGGCCATAGTATCAATAATTTGAAATTGTAAAGCATTTGGTTATCCGGGAAATATGCATGTGAGTCCCCATTGTGTCGTCCACGTTGCTGAATGGCCATTATTGTGACTATTCAGTTAGGAGTAGTGTTTTCGTAAACAATTTTGGTTTTGTCATTTATGAGATAGTTTCAGTGATCAGAAAGGCCATGGAATCATATGTTAGTCTAGCCGACCAGAACAGTGTTATGTCTGACTCAAACATAACTTTCTTGTCCTACTCAGACAAAACGTACGTAGCCATCTGAAGAAAAAGAGAGCCAAGAAAAAAGCTGCACTCATGCATGTAAAAGTCTGTCTTACAACCTCGACTCACACCCAAAACAATGTAATTCGAGACAACGACACCGTATTGTCGCTTTCAAACCAAGAAACCACGCCATTTGAAGGGGGCAGGAAAACATAGAAAAAAAAAATGATATTTTCCTTTTTATACGCTTTGTTTTAGGCTTATTAAAAAATTATGGGTTTCCTAGTTCATAGGTTTAAAAAGCAAGGTTTGAATAAAAATTAAATTTGGTGAGCCGTTCTAAACAAGTTTTCGATTTCTAATTTTATCATGTGTATATCTAAATATTAATTTAATACATAAATATTTAACCCTTGATTTTAATCTTAAAAATACCAAAAATATATTTGTCAAATACCAAAAAAATACTCGATTACCCTCGAGATGGGTTTATGTGTATTTTTATTTATTTTTCCAAAGTTTTTAAAAGTTGTAGCCCTTTTTTTCCCCTCTTTTTTGAGTAGAAGCTTTAGAAATTTTCTTTTCCCTTAAGGATAGCATAAGAAGATAAACTTTTCTATTTAAAAAAAAAAAAAAAAAAACGTGTAATTTACACGTACCTGCACCAGTTACGTCTTTGCAACCTTGTCTCTGTTGGTACTTTCCCGGCGACTCCCAGGACATCATCTTAACACCTGAGAACGCCGGCGACGGAGTCTGCCGGAAAACCTTTCCGGCAACCGGAGACAGCGCCCACGTTGGGGTGGTGGCGGTGGTGGTGGCCGCCGTGTCGAGCTCATTGAAGTTGGAGGGGCGCGGCGTCGGCTGGAGAGAGTAAGCGTCGGAGGAAGCATAGCCGCCGAAAACGACGTCGTCAAGGAGGTTGGTGGTGTTGTTCTGGGATTGGTCGTAGTTAAAATGTGGCGCAACGACGGGGGTGTTGACGGAGAAGACCTCCGCGTTGGAGAGGTTTGATGCCCTGGGAGTGATGCCCAGTGAGGATGACACGGCGGAGTCAGGGAGGGTTGATGTGGACCGTCGGATGCGGACACGGATTCTGCCGTGATCATCGATTATTTCGGGCTCGGCGCGGAGCGGGTCCCTGCCGTCGAGGGAGATTATATCGTCGTCGACCGAGATTCTCGATATGGCGGCGGCGGCGGAGCCCGGGAATTGGGTTCGTATTAGTAAGGTGGCGGCTCTATATTCAAAAAGGAATAACAAGAGTGTGTACCTGAAATGATTTTGAAAATATTAACTAACATCATTAGATGTTACATGTTATAAATCTCATGGAAAAGTAATTAACGACTAGGTTATTATTTGCATATTGTTTGAATTGAGTAACAATTTTTTCTATACAATTGATGTGATTTATATTAAAAAAATGATATAATTTATCTTTGTGAAAATAGACATTGTTTTTTAAGAGATTTTTTTGTGTGATGATTTATAATTTTAATTAATTTTAGAGAAAGTTGACTATGCAGGGTAACAATAATTGCCGAGTAATTCACAGCAAATATAACACAGTTAGCAAATCCTGCAATCAATGGCTACGTATTAGTAACAGAAATGTTGAGTTGCTCACATTTAAGGAGAGAAGGTTAATTTGTTCCAACCATGCATGGTTGGTTATCTTAAAGCTGTTTTATATACATTTATCAAAAAGAAAGAAAGAAAGAAATATTAAAGAAAACATCGTAGTTTTCCATTCATCCAAAAGAGAAACAAATTTTGCAGCAGTCTATAATAGTTATTCAGAAAAAAAAAAAAAGAAAAAAGAATGAATAATCCAATAGTTTGATCTCCATTAGACGAGGCGACGCATGAAATATATATTATACACACACACACACACACACATATGTATTCATTTTTCATTGTTCTACTTACATACCCAGAGAAAAAACAATGTTTCTCATTCTGCTATATAACATATATATCCATGTTAATGAAGTTATTTTAGCTAATAACACGCTTAGCTGTGCCCTTGTGTGTACTATATATATACATATATATATGTATATATACATTACTTTTAAGTTTTATCATCTTCCTTTTCTAGTTTCCCTTTCTACTTAGACGGAAAAGTAGTATGCTTTTCACCTGAGGCATGTTTTATTTAAAGGGAGTGTCATCAAGGAAAAAGACTCTTTTTGCTAACCTTTTCAAAAATCCACTGCAAAGACACCACTAGAATGAAAGAAAGAAAGAAAAAGGAAAGAAGGAAAGAAAGAAAACGTGGTCTAAAACTTAGGGAGGAATAGGGGAAGAGAGAAGAGAAAGAGGAAGAAGAATAGAAGGATTTAGAAGAGTTAATTAGGAAATCAGGAGAGGATGAGGGGGGGGGGGAAAGAATTCTATATCCAATAATCATCAATCATAGTGTGAATTATCTATAATCTATAATGGTGTAAGCCAATTTATATAGCTAAATGCATAAAATCGGACATTTAAAAAAAAAAAAAAAAAAAAGAAACTAGATAAAAATTCAACAAAAGTCAATCCTAATCAGTATAATTTATTCTAGTTTATTTTCTATATGCATCTTCTTCATATATAGTCAATTTTTTTCCTAAAAAAAAAAAGTGTTTATTCGAAAGGCGTACCATATGATGCATTGAAGAACTACGACTTGCACCATGAGAGACTGAGTGAAATCACCATACATGGCCTTAAGCAAAGGAATGCCCATGACCAGAGTGTTGGGCAAAGTGGCAACGGAGAATATAGTAATAAGCCACTCTAAATTTCCTTTTTTACAGAAAACAGCCCAAAGGGAGAGCAAAACAAGGACCAAGGCCTTCGAGAGAGTGTCGGCCAATATGAATTTCGTGTCCATCTCATAAGGATTGTTTTGAGAAATGAAGTGAAACGACAACACCGGAACCGCGAACACCGCGACGAAACGGTTGATCCCCGAGCACTGCTCCTGCGAGAATATCTTGCACCATTTCACTGACGCGTACGCCACGATCATTGCGAAGTAGAGAGGAACCATTGCGCACATGACCTTGTAGAAGTCATCTTTTGTTATCATATTTTTATTTTTTCCTCTCTTTTTTACCTCTCTCGTTTAGACCTTTTATCAAACAGATTTGTTGCTGATTGTAAATGATAGGGAAGAGCAGTGGGGGGTTTATATAGGAGATTTGTGGTCGAGAATGCCCATAAGAAAGTTGACGATTTACTTATATGGCCATTCTTCTGTGTTTACCGGGAATTACGGTTGGCGGCAGGAACTTCATGATTAATTATTATTATTATTTTTTTTTATGATCAATGTTTTCAATTTTTAAAGTGAGAGGGTTTGAACTCCACACTTTATGCAAGAATCAAGTGTAGAATTATTGTTAAATTATAAGTGCAACACGATTACGGTGACTGATCGTGCGATATTTATATGATAATTAATCTAAATCGGGCATGTTGTTAAGCTAGATCAATTAATGTTATGTTTTTATTTTAGGAAACGTTACTGTTGAGAACAGTACTGCTAGATATTACGTGAATATTAAAGTCACGCGTACATCCTGATTTTAATAGGACTCGTAAATAATTAACAAAGTTTTACATCAAGATTTTTAGAATACCCTTTCAAACCATCTCTAATGCAAATATGAATGTAATTTTTTTTAATTAGCAAAAAAAATATGGACATTATACATTTTAACTATGGTTCTATTTTGTCCTTCGCAATGCTATTTTAAATGTTGAATTTTGTTTTTCTAATAATGATTTAATTTTTTGGCACCAAGTAATGTTAAATTTTGTTGATTTTTCTCTTTGCAATTTTATTTTTATCTCATCACCATTTAATTTTTGTTTATGTTATGTGAAATATTTCCTCTTGTAAACATCTATCATTATTTTGCCACACGTTTCTTACTAGACGTCCAGATCCATTATGAGGATCTCATATATTATGGGGAGAAATTGAAGCAACACTCACAAATAAATCATTATTAATTTGGAGGCAAATTATTGCGTTATTATCTTTTTTATGATACATATATAGATCATATGTGACAAACTAGTAAGTGGACTACTTTCACTTTGAAATCAGGTTCATGTATTTAAGAACGCATAATGAAGAAATCAAAAAATTTCTACTTTGGAATGATATGATGGTAATGATATGATGGTGTCTATTAAAACAATTAATACAACATTATATGTGCCGAACTTGTGAAATTTGCAGAACTACCTCTCTTTGATGACTTTTTAAAAAAATGCCATTGCCTGCCGTTTAAGTCTGGCAACTATTATTAAAGAACTGGTGACCATGCTCACGTACACGTCATGTTATCAAGAACATTAAAAAAAAAAAAAAAAAAACATACATCATGTGAGCAAGTTTGCCATGCCGAACATTAATGACGTTTATTTTCTGTATTTGTCTCTGATTTTGAATCATGATTCATGATTCTCTATAGTGTTTTTCTCTCATAAAAAATACACGTAAAATAAGAATAATTTTAAATCATAATTCTAAATACATGAACCAAACGTCAACTAATTTAACTTGGAGTAATTGGCACCATTGGTTTCTACATTTTGATATAATTTTAGCAAAACAACTCTTAAAATAGTGGCAATTATACCCTTTCTGTCCAAAACCATCAACTTTTAACAGAAATGATCACGTGCAGTGCATGTCATCTAATTTAGGAGGGCATTTTAGTAAACTAACAAAAGTTCATACAAAAGAAAAAAAAAAAGAAGAAAAACATGTCTATAAGAAAATAATGATACCCACACCCAGAGACACAATTCCAGGAAAAAATCAATAAATTAATTGGATTCTCCAATATAAACTTTGATCAAGTTCATATCTTCATATCTGTACTTCTTCAACAACACAAACACATCTAGATTTAGAGAAGGAAAAATAAAGAGCAGATCGCGCAAAAGAAAATCAAATGATTCCCCATTGCAAGGGAAACGTATGGATTGGATACCATTTGTATATACTCATCAAGGTGGAAATCAAAAAAACAAAAATGATTGCCCATGTGAATTTATTACTACAATCTAAAAAACATTCAAGATATTACAGATAACCAAAGCCAAAAGGAAAAATACCAAAAACTAATTATAGAAATCTTGGCGATGACGGGTGGGGCTTTCTATGGGACTACTCTCGGAGGGAAATAGGCGATGGGGAGATCTGCTCAAGGTGGGACGGTCGCGCGGCGGATCTGGGCTTGCGGTGATGCAGGTTCGACGGGTGTATATGTGGTGGTGGTGGTGGTGCGAATGCGATAGTGATGGCTTGTGGGGCCGAGGGTTCGGCGGCGGATCTGACAAAGTTCGGCTTCGTCAAACCCAAACACTCAGCCCCTCGTTGGCTAGACCTACCAATTCTTTTCTCCAGCTCCGCCGCTCCTTCGACAGTATTTGTCGGTGCTCATTTCCTCGCACCGGCCAGACAACCAACTCCTCGCCCAAGCGCGGCCCCAAATTCGCTCTCTCTCGTCGTCGGCGCTTCACTCTTCACCACACCGGATCCATAGCTCTAGATTTCATAAAGTGCAATCTTATAGACGATGAAGAAGTTAAGACAGAATGCTTACAAATGGTGGATCGTTTTGGTGTGCAAATGGGCTTTGTTTTTTGGTTTGTCTCACGAAACAAAGATTCTTAAAGATAATTCAGTTGGTAGAGATGGTGAATCATCTGGGTTTAGCTCTTGGAACTTATTTATTTTCTTTTTCTTTTTTTATTTTCTTTTTTTTTCCTAAAGTTATAAGGGAGGGTATTTTAGTCTTTTCAACGTCAAAAAACACACTTGAATGTCACGTGTATAAAACCGTTTAAATGCTACGGTTTTAGATGGAAAGGGTTTAATTGCCAAGGTTTGAAAGGTTTAAAGGTTGTTTTGCCAAAATTAGAAAAAAAGAATGATCAAAGTGTCGCCTAATGAAGAGTTTAGAGACTAATAGTACCAATTACCCTTAACTTTTTTCTCCTGAACTTTTGTAACTCTTGCATATCATTTTGTGATAAGGCACAACCATGTAATTTGTCTTTCAGTGTATTGAGAACATCTCACACACCCTGTAAAGCATCAATTTCACTAGCTTTGGTTGGCATACAGTATGAAAGAGATATGTTACCAATACACAGATGTTTGGTAGAGGGATTCGTTCCCTGATTCGAATTATGATTCATGATTCGCTATAATATTTTCTCTCATAAAAAATTCACGTAAATCGAAAATTATTCGAATCACATGGTTTGAATCCTCCAACCAAACTTTCTTGTCTTGTTTGGGATAAATGGAGGGGTATATAACTTATAAGTGGTAGTAGCGAAAAATAAGGATGAAAATATCAATATTCATGAAAAATATTAGTAGTTAGAGTTTACAGTAATATTGACGAGAATATCAATGTTAGTGCAAAACTGACATAAAATTGAGAATTCATCTCAATAAATTGGATGAACTCTAAATCAAAGTACTAATTTTATGGTAAATATGCATGATAAGAGATAATCATAGGAATAATTAAAAAAATATAATCATAGTAGTTCACAAATTAAGTAAAATATATAGTTGAAAGTCAATCTAATACGACTACTTTAAATCCATAGTCTTATAAAAAAATTGAAAAAAAAATCTATACTAAAAGAAGTTTCTAAGAGATTCGAATGTCTTTGAATTACTTTGTTAGTTTAAACAATATTTATACGGAGTCATCGATCGATTTTAATAGTTTATCATATAATTCTAGACATGTCATGCTAATGTCTCTCTAATTCTGCTCACTACCTCTCGATGTGTAGAGAAGAAAACTGCATTTAAAAGTATTAAAAGTACAAGAAGTTTATTACATTCAAAACTAAATTAAAAAAATTAATATAAAATTACCAATATTTTGATGATACTTTACCGATATTTTTGTGAAATTTGTATAAAATTTTCATGATGTTTTGTCATCTAAAGGAGAGAGAAAAAAATGATAGAACAGGGGAGATTGGGAAGCATTGTCTCAAAATTTGGGGCAACGGGTTTTGTCAAAATTTTGTTTGGTCTGAGACTAATCGTGACAGCGATAAGACGTGTGGCGTGCTGCGGGATCCGCGTTGCAATGTCTCAGCTCAGTCACCTGCCACGCATCGCATGCTCATTTCTGCGCTGCGCCACCCTATCAGTCTTTTTCTCTGTTTGTTGGTCTTGGCCCACTCTTCACTAATCAGATTTTTCCATGTTCAATTTGCCCCAGCCTGTACTCCAACTTCTTTCGGTTTTGGGCTCAACTTGATTTTCGGCTTCAATTATTTTAGGCCTTCAATGGTGGGTTACATTTGCATTTTGAAGAATGTCCCTTAAAGAGCTAATAAAGTCTTTTTGATTTAGTCACTAGAATAATTTTAATAAACACTTCTTAATGAATCATGATTTTTACCTTTTATTCTTAATTTATAACTTTTATAGTTAAAACAAATAATTACACTATTTTTTTCTTGGAAAAAGTTCCCATTTGTTCCCCTCAATTAATTAGGAAAAGGTCAACGACATATATTCTACCGTTTCCTTTGTTCAAAAGATAATCAACAAGATTACCGTCGGTAATTTACCAGCTACAGCAGGAGGCGAATAATGTGGGAGATTATTTTTAATAATAGACAATCTACCGGGATATTTTTTATTTAAAAAAATGGCCGGTGACCTTCTGTTGCCATTTCTCGAAGAGTACTCTTGTAGATTATTTTTGATAATCTACCTGATTAGCTTTACTTCTCAACAAAGATGGACAGCTTTAAAGTAATCCACTAGATTACTTTCAAGCTCCATATAGAAGAACATCATATGCTATATATATAGAAAGATAAAAAAATTACAAAGATAAACTACAAAAAACCATATTTATTCAGATAAACTACCTCTGATGATCACATCCTTTATTTCTTTATACAATTCAATCTTACGTTGTCAAAGAATATCTATTTTCATGATTTTAACTTCTATCTCTATAAATTTTCGAACCAAGTTTGAAGAGTGAAAATAGACACAGCTAAACAAAAATACCCATTGAAAGGAAAAGGAATAAGTTCAGTCGAAAGTGATTCAACAATATAATTATTATA